ATTAAAATTCTTCCGCGTGTTAAAATAGCGTACATTCGATCACGAAAGTGTTGGAATGTTCATAGGAATAAACTTTGACTTTTTATTAACACTGCAGTGGTACCAGACTATCATGATTATATTGGTCAGATTTGAAATAAATCTTGAATAAAAGTCTTTCTTGGAATTACGAGATATTTAATAGAAGTATACAAAAATTATAGAAGCGTTTTTACAAGCTACAATCGTCTATTGGTTTTTTATTAAAAAAAAAAAAAAATACTCGCAATAAATATCTTATAATACACTTCTATACACTTTTTCAGATTGGTTCCAAATTTTTCATAATAATCATTTCTCGTTGCAGTGTTAGTGAAATTTCGAAACACGTATTTGGATATTGAATTGAATGAACGTGATCCACAAGATAGTTCTAAATAACGCAAATGATTGAATAATGCTATAGAAATGAAAATACGTTTGTTTTCTTTGCCTTTTTTTTCTACTAATACTTACTGTGTGATTCTATAGTCTCGAAAGGATTTTCACGTGTTAACGAGGACATCGAAGAAAAGGAAGAACGCCATAATGGCGGCGGTAGCGGCGACAGTGACGCTGATGTTCCTCTTCATGTCTCTTCTCGTGTTTCTATTATATTTAGGGATTCTCTGATCAATGCTGCTTCTTAAAATATGAAATATACAAACAAATAAATAATTTATTATTTACTTGCCTTACGACCTTCTCGTCAAATCTGTGCGTTTCCTTGAATAAGTATTCATCGTTCAATCGTGTTTCAAACGATAACGTTTAATTTTACAGACGATTTATTACAATTTATGGACGATATCGGTAAATCACTTTATATTGGCACAAACACGTGAACAAGAAGGATCTGCACAATATATACGTATAATGAGTGAAATTCTCCAAAAAAAAAAACACCCTCCCTTAAAAGTCTGAAAACAAATATATTTATTTGTAAAAACATAATAAAAAAATTAAGTAATACTTTGATAATACAAAAAGAAAAACGATCTGTAATGTGTTAATATATTAGCAATTGTATCATAAAATACCCGTGCAATTTAAAAATTTTATCATTACATACATCAATGTTAAATCTCAGTTGGTGTTCAATTTTGGAATTTTTGACTTAGTTTTATCACGAAAGATATAAAATGCAGAATAAAATGGAGTATTACTTTTATTAAAGTAATATTATATTTTTATTAACGAAATATAACGTCACGATGCGATATGCTGTATTTCGGTAATGCAATATTATTATAATTAATTGTGATTTAACATTGTAACAATTATCATTCACAATCCGCCGATACTGATCGGGAACAAAAATCAAAAAGTGTTCTAGGACTTTTGAGCGACAGTGTACGTTCAACGATCGATAATTTATATCCACACATTTATAACAAAATTCAGACGACGAGTTAACAAACCCATCCACCAATTTCCATGAATAAACGTCTACTTACGTACCCAAAGGAATTTCTTCTCAATGGCGTCCGTGGTTGAACTTACGGTGGATCCCATCGCATTTGAAGAAGATGTGAAACGCAGAGACAATCTCGCAGAAGCGACCAGACATTTGTACTTCATCGCTGCACGAAGGATACAGGTTAACGACTCTTGTTCGAAAAGTGGCATGAAGGATAAGAAAGTCCACTCTCACCGTAGGAAAAGTCAAGTCAGATTTTTCTGGCAATTCTTTCTGACAAAGATCCTCTGCAACACGCGAGAAGATAACCTCGAGCTCGTTAATGGCAACTTGCGCGCGAGTTATCGTTCTTATCCAACCTGAACGCGAGCCTCGCTAATAATAAAGTGTGTCATAACTGTGCCCGACACCGGCGAGATATCGATTGCTTAAGGTCAAGATCGCGACACATCGATCCGACGAGTCATCGGCGAGTCCTTGTTTTCCGCTTTTCGATCATTGCAATTGTCGTACGTTGGTAATGTGAGATTCACACGTGGGAAGATCCCTTGGAGAGTTTAATTAATATTGTTGGGTAGATGTTGAAGGTGCAAGGATGCACAGAATGTATAGAATATGAAAGATTGTGTAAAATATCCAAAATGGAGAATTTGTCGCAAGTTCTTCCTTGAAGCTCCATTTCTTTAGTTACGTAAAACGAAAAATGTATAAAAATCGTATAAAAATTCGCGATCTTATTGTTAGTTACTAAAACATTAAGAAGAATCTTGCATAATATTAACGAGTTTGGTAATTAAATGTTTGTAAAGTTATAATTATATCTATTTAAAAATTATGAAATTATTGAGGAGAAATTTAGAACATGAAACTTGTTAAGTTGATAACTTGTGCAAGAGGACTCTGCAAAATGTATTTCGCGTGTCTTTAAAGATAATGAGAAATGGTGAAGTAATGAATGATAAAAGCGGATGAATTTCCTTAAAATGTCTAATTTGTTTGCAACATCACAAAATATTGACTATCTTTTGTTCCCCGTATAATTTAGTGAATTTTCGAGCGTGGCCACAGAAAAAAAAAATAAAACAAAATATGCCAAATTGAGTGCCAAAACAATTCTCGCTGACGTTTCAAAGTTTCGGAGAAATTCATAGAACTTGATTTACATTTAACGAATTACACACAGGGAAATTTTGCTTGCGAGATCTCATTGTTAAAATTCCGATTTTTATTTATTTTCAAAAACGATGTCGTGCAATAAATTTTCCACAAGTACACTCGCTGCAATAACGTAATAGATTTATAATTCTTAAGAAATGAACTAACAGTTCGAAATTAAAATATAGATTTTTCACATTGTATGCGCACTCTCTATTGTTCATTCGATGAGAACTCAATCAGAATACGATTCTTCTGACGTTACAACCCTTCAATTTGATTTTCACTCGACAGTGTAGGCCTGGATCCGCGGCATTCTCACTCGAAACCATTTCCGGTTGCTGCACGAGAGCGCTGTCATCATCCAACGTCACTGGCGTGGCCATCGTACCAGGATCACGATCGATCGATATCTGGTGCACCGTGTCCATCAAATGTGGCAGGATTATTATGACAAAATGGCCACGAAGATCCAGGCGTCCTGGCGTGGCTATTGGATCAGGAAAACTGTCCTCGACACGCAGAAGATGCAACGATGGTTGAACAGAGTGTACATGAAGAACGAGGAAACTGTGAAGAACATGAAGAGGTTTGTGTCTTTCGGTTTCATTCTGTTAACAACCGCCAATAAGATCGTCGTTGAATAATTCATATGCACTCAATACAGAAGTGGCAACTTAACTTGCTGTATTATAAAATTATTGTTCTGTATATAGAGCAATATATTTTGCAAATGCTGTTTACAGAAGATGACTAACCTTTTCAACTTGTTAGTTGTTGTGCAGAAATGAAAAATTGAAGGACAAGAACGTTGAACATTATATTTAGAAAAATAATACAGTGTACGTGTAATGTTCTTCCAAATATTTAACTGTTTAGATTCAAACAGGAGGAGATGAAATTTGTGGAAAGCAGAATCGAACGTGAGTCCATGCACTGGACACTGTTTATCCTCTTCAAGGTAAATTAAATAACGACGAGACGATCTGTTTGTCGAAATTACGTAGTTCCTCTCGTCGCAGTTGCATCATTTGTTAAGAACGGAGCAACGGCCAGGTGTGATCACCAGAATCGATGATACTCGATTCACTTTGATCGAAGAGATGTTGAAATGTTTGGAGTACAAACGCTACGTGCGTAATAAAAGGACCAGGTTGAAGAGCAAACGTCGAGATTGTCAAATTGACGAAACACCAGCGTCGATCCTTCGTGGAACGTATTATGACAGATGTGGGAAAGAGATTCAAGAAACACGGAAAAATTTGGAAGCCGTACCAATATACAGAAGTGAGAATTTCACGAATAGTTTATATTGTTAAATTTGTTTCAAACTTGGCCAATATATTACTATTAATGTTTTATATAACATACGTGGGAAATTATTTTGTTTTTTAATTATCATCGAAATTTAGGTGAACCGTACGAAGAACACGAGATGAACACTCGCAAGTTGAATCAAATATATTTAGAAGCTTTCATAGATGAAGCATACGAAACGAGTTCACGACGAGAAATCGACACGAAGAAGGATAAACGAGAGACAGTGTGCTCTTCGAGAAAAGAAGTCGATCTGTGTGAAAAGATCAAGGAAATGGATTGTCACTTAAACGAACTCCGCTTGAAGTGTCCTATTCACGATTCTCCGTGTTACAAATGAAATATGCTTAATTATTTAATACATACCAAATTTCCATCAATTAGAATGTCTGTGCACTTTTAAGAAAAACCTAATACTTCTACAATTCTAAAATCTTGAAATAAAAAGCAGTTTAAAAGGAATACTATATAAAATATCCGAAAGGGACAAACATTCGAACAAATTTCTGTTTAACTTTTTCATCTCTTTAATCAGACTTGTACTGCAATACTAAATTCATATGTTGATATATTTGAAGATATATATAATTGAAAAAGCAAGCAATCTAGAAGACTGATAAAATATTTCGGATATTTCATACGTTGTCCAGTTTCCAATGAACAGAAGGAAACGAAAATAATGGAAAAACTGCGAGGAATATTGAGAACAATGAATTTTATTAAAATATCGCGTCACGCGCTAAATACAAAGCTACTATAACTATCTACTGTAAAATGCATGAGGTAGGTAAGCCAGGTAAATTTCAGGCTTTGCAAGAAAGGGGAATGTTCAAAGTTTTCGTCATGGAGACTGGTTTCTGGCTGAGATCAGGATTCGCACCCTTCTCGATTCTCTTCTTCAAGTTCAACGACGCTGGGTTCCTCTCCATGCAGTGGAATTCGTAGGTCTTCGATTTGGTCTCGTTGCTGGAGCAACCAGGAGAGCAAGACAGTACTGGACGCATGGTGAAGCAAAGCTTGTTGTCCAATTCCTTTACGTGAGTCCTGAAGACGTTGCAGCGTTTCTCTCCAGACTGTTGATGACCCCGGTTTCCCTTTTCGAGGGTTTGCCGGCCAGACTCGATGTCGCTGATCATGTTGCTCGGAGTATTCTTCGTTTCATGCACGCAGTCGTGATTCAACAGCGATCTTGCTATCTCCAGAGACTCGCCCTCGCATTGTTGCTTAGTGAGAGCGTAACTGGCGACGAACTGCTCCGGTTTGCGGAGCGTGCAACTCTTCGGACCGGTGAAGTCGTTGAGCGGCGTGCTGTCGAAGTTGCCGCAGAGACCGCGAACCGCGTTCCGGTATTTGTCCGATGCCTGTGAATTTTTCGTTCGTTATTGATCACGCTTAGCGCTTGGAAAATCAGAAAATTCCAGAGAGACGAGGAAATTCTTTACCTTTATCTACTTTGTAAGTTTACATCTAATTTACCTTGAGCAGAACACGTTTCCCATCGAAGACTAGGTTGATACCGAAGTAGTGAGAGACCAGTTGAACGGAGTTGTCGTTAAGCTTGAAGATCTCTAACGTAGTCTTGTCGTCGTGTCTCTCCTGGTAGGTCTGGTCATCTGTCACTGAAACGGTGTGTTCGTTCACGGCGACTGTCGGTAGGCTGGAAGTAGGAACAAGTTGGATCTTCGTGTTTCCGAGTAGTACTTTCACTTCCTTTTCACCGTTCTCTGTGTCACGGCTGAGGATGGTCACGCTGCTGTCCTTGGGGATACGTAGCGTCTCCTCGGAATTGTCTGGATTCAATTGTGGATAGGTGGTCATGACGACGTGCCAGCAGTTGCCTAATCTCGTCGAATACTCCTTTCCGTCGAATGTCTGGGTCTTCGTTCTGTCCAGCACGCAAGAAGCTGCAGAAATGAACGATAACGTTGGTAAGAAGATAGCTCTCTGCTTTGATAAAACTCGACTGGTGGATTTCCGTGAACAAATTTTTGAGAATATGACATCAACAGACTTACGAGTAATTCCTGTTCACAGCAATAGACAAGATCTGAACAATTTTCGTAAAATGTTGAAAATGTCCAGCAGTTGCTTCGTAGAATACTCACGTTCATCCTCGTTGTACCACAAATTCTGAAGGTCTATGGCGTCGTCGACAGTCATCAGAACATCCTCGGTGGAAATCCCAAAAGCAGAGAGACCAAAGTTACTCATCTTAAGGTCCATGACCGGACTGTTGATCGATAGGTCGAGCTTCTTCAAATCGTCAGACAGTTTAGCCTTGAAATCGATCTTCTTCTTGCCAGCGTTCGTCAGACCCTTAAGGTCCGAGTGGGTGTCCAAGATGTTGGTGTTTCTCATATTGTTGAGAAGCTCGGTGATCAAGGTCGCGACATTCTCCGACTGGAAGTTCACAGTGATGTCCAGTTCATTGAGAACTAGGCTGAGCGCCGCCGCGTTCTGACAGGCACGCAGCATCTTGTTACCCTGTTCCATTTGCTTCTGGCACTCTTTGACCAGAGCTGACTTCTTGATCAACTCACTGAGATTCTTCGTCTGTGTAGCTTTGCCGTTGATGGTGATCTGCTCGCCTTCGGCACAGGTACTTCCCACGCGCAGGTCTATGTTCAAATCTACTTTGGGTCTCGTTTGAGTTGCCTGCTCCAACAACGGGGTAACGCGCGGCGTGACTTTCGCCTGAGCAGCCGCGCACAACTCGACAGTGGAGGGTGTTGTTCCGGTTTTGTCGACCGAATTGTGCAGATACAACAGCGTTCGTCCCGTCTTCTCCACGTTGCTGTTGGCCGTCGCGATCGTCAGGGTCGTTTTCAGTTCATCCGGGACGTGCAGGTGCATATCGAGCACGGTCGACGTAGCCGATTTGATGCCCTTTGCCGCATCCGTCATCATCTGCCTCTTGCGAGCTTCGCTGTGTGACTCCTTGTCCGATGGTTCTGTCGCCGTGGCCATCGATTCCCACGCAGCGTCATTGCTCGGCGACAATTCCACGCGTTCGGCAGACAGGTTCACCACAACTGGCTCTAATTGTTCGCGTTTCAGATTCATGAACAGGTTCACGTTGCGGAAATTGTCGTTGTCCATGGACCACGGATTCACGAACATATTCGTCCATTGGTCGACGTCCAGGTTCTTCAGATCGAACAACTCGTCGGTCGTGGCTGCTTCCACGTTGATTTTCATCTTCGAGTCCGATTCAGGGCTTGGGATGGTTTCCGACCGAAGGTTCTCGGGGCGTACTTTCTGCGTGGTCTTCTCGGTGAGCAGGGGACGCAGGCTCAGGATGTCGTGCGTGGCGGTGAACGGAACGACGCTGTAGTGCAGCAATCGCGCCTTCTCCTCGCCTTTCATCGGCCAAAGTTTCAACTCCAAGCTGCGTTTCGGTATGTTCAGGTTCAGGGACAATTTCAGCGGCGCGAACAATTGGAAGCTGAGATCGATACCGGCGATGAAGTGCTGGTGATCGAACGGCGTGACGAAGCCGATTCTTCCTTGGATCTTCTTCGCGTGGACGAGGCGAAGGCTGTTCTTCGTGGCTAAGTTGTATCCCGTCTTCAATTCGCCTTGCGTGTTTCCGGTCATCTTGAAGAGTACGGGGATGTTGAAAGTGTGTACGAACGGCAGACCGGTCTCCGTCGGGAAGCTAAGAGCTATGTCGTAGGACTCCAATTTGTTCAAGTTAACGAACTTTCCTTCCCTCATGCCCATCATCAATTTGGCGATCGCTGGAATTACATTACGTGTGTATGATATTATTTGAATGTTTATGGATATTCTTCATTGGAGCTCGAGTGCCTCGCAAGCTTCGAAATTTTAATAATCGTTACATGTCATTCATTTGATATTAATGGTGTATCGATAAAGTACACCTGTGGATAATGTAAATATGTAGCTTTCAAGTTACTCGATACTTTCATAGAGGTTGAAATGTCAATGCAACAAAATCAAAAAATACCCGATATCATCATTAATACTCACTGATAGGTATTCTCTGGAGCGCGTCCCTGGTGAAGGGGAGGAAGCGCGTAATGTATTTCGTGTCCCACATCAGGTTTCCTTCCAAAGGAGTAGTCTCGTCGGCTATGATGTTCAGTTCTTCGACGATCTTCTCAGTTACCATTTTCACAGTGTGTTCGCCATACTTGTTCTTCAAGGCAAGGTCCATGAGAGACCTGACGCTCGAGATCATGGCGATGATCTCAGTCGGAGGGAGCTTGAAGTCACCGAAAGTGGAGAATGTCGCGTAGTACACGGCCTTTGGGATCAGACTGTCGTCGCTGCCGATGTAATTCAAAATCGTCTGAATGAGAATGTTCTTCTCGCTGTTTGTTATGTCGCTCGTGAATCCGCGAGAGAAGTGGAAGCTGTGGTCGTCCGTGGCCAACAGGCTCTTCACCGCGCGAGCTTTCTTCGCCATTTTCTCCCACTCGGGGTTGTTCGACTTCGCGAGGTTCTCCAGGGTACTTTTCACAGCCGAGTTCACCTGTTTGCTGGTGTCGGTGTTGGTTAATTCCGCCATTCGTTGCAGCATGCTTAGCGGCGGATCGGTCTTCATCAAGAGGAAGACCGCGGTGCAACGCAAGTCGTGATGTTCCATGGTGTTCAAATAAATTTTGTACAGGACAGAACGCGCGAGTTTCGGATGAGTGTCGGCCAGTTTGCCCAGTGCGGCGACTATCATCGTTCTCTGGAACGTGGTCATCGGTTGTTTGCCCTCCAGGTAAGGCTCAAACACGGAGAGGATCTTCGGATCGCCGATTTTACCCAGAGCTACGATCATCGTCTGGATCATTATGCTGTCCTTGTTCTCGGCAGCTTTCTTCAGTTCGCGAGACAAGTGAGGGATCCACTCATCGTGGACGGTGCGATCATGCTTGGACGTGAGCCGACCGAACGTGTGTACCGGGTAGTTGTTGTGCATGGTCTTCTTGTTCACTTGGGTGTTGTGGATCAGCTCGCTAAGTGCGATGGTAGCCGCGCTCTTCAGTAACGCGTCCTCGTTCATCACTTCGCTCGTGGTTAGTTTCTGAAAAGGACAAATTGAACAGGGCCGAGTGTGTTTTGCGAAATTTAACTGTCTACGGTTAGTCTACTACCAGTCAAAAGTACAATTCCTTTGATTCCTCGAACACTTACGAACAATTCCCTGATGTACTGATCGGTAGGTGTACGCGCAGTTTTTGGAAGCCTGGACAGAATTTCCATAGCCTGCCAGTTCTGGATCTCCCTGTTCTCAATCCAGTGCTTGATAGCCAAGAGCGCAGGTCCTGTACCGGCTTGGGTGACAGTGTCTTTCCACAACGACCAGGCGTTCTGTTTAACAGCCTGAGTCCTGTCGTTCGTCTTCAAATCGTCGGATGACAGATGCACGCTTCTTCCGATCTCTTTGATCTGCTCCAAGTTCATCGTACGAACTAAGGAGCTCAGGATCGTGAATTTCTCCAGGGTCTGTTGGGTGGGGATGTTGCTTGGATCCTCCAGTTCGTTGGCAATCTGAGAGATAAGCTCCTTGCTGCTGCTCACAACGTCCAGTTCGTCGGATCGTCCGATGTGTTTGCCCTTGAAGCCGATGAACATCGGCAGCAGAGGATTCTGCGGCGCGTCTTTCAACGTGGGTTTTGGCTGCCAGAAGTTCTTCTCCTCGCTGCTGGAGATCGAGCTGCTGGACGACGAGCTCGACGATTCGGAGAGGCTTCGTGGGTTTACATTGTTCGTGGCCTCCTCGCTCGAACTGATCGAGCTCACGCTATCCGACTGCTTGTTCGACTCCTGTTTGCCGATTCTGCGCTCCTCCGTGTCAGAGAAAGGATTGCTGTAAACGTAGACCAGATTTCCGGTGGATTCTGGATTGCTCGGTGACGACAGAACGTTTCTCGTTTCTTTCACGTCTGCCAAGGTGAGGTTCATTCTGCTAGCCAACATTCCGTTCTTCTCGTCGTAGAATCTCGGACCGACGAACAATTTACTGGTCGTCGTCGACGATTGGACGGTGAAGCTCTTCAGGCTGCCTGACACGACGATCCTGCTCGTTGAAGATTTCTGTAACAACGAATATTTCGGTTATTCCCGAAGTAAATTGAACTTCGTTCTTGTTGCAGATCGAAGAATACGCTTTTGAACAGTCATTACATAAAATTGAAAATTGAATCATCTTAATGTCGCAAGAATATTTCATCAATTTTTTACGTCGTTTCGTCTTTCAGATTTCAAGACACTACATACGCAGCGTAGATTTGGATGGCACGGTTGCAGAAATTGCAGACATTCTAAAATTTGTCCCTTTTGTACATTTATGTAAATGACGGCCAATGTTATTCGCAATGAAAACTATGTGACATAATTCTTACGCTGATGCAAGTCAAAAAATAAGCGACAACTTACCGAGAAGAATTTCCCATTCTCATTAGATCCAGCCTCCCAGGCAGAGTTCCCAGTGATACCGAAATTATAGTTGATCCTTTGGTCGCAGTTGTCGAAGTTCTTCGTTTTAACAATCTCCATGTGCATTCCATTGTTCTTCAGCTTCGGTATAGGGACCAGTTCCGGCTTCTCGCGGATCAAATGTTCCGACAGCGGCATCACGTCGTAACGAACCTCGCATTTCCCACCGACCGAGTCCTCCATCTTTCTGAAGTTACCGTACGGCAACTCCTCGGTAGGAATCTGCAAGTCGTTCGTCTTGAGCGCGTCCTCGCCCTTCGTGTCCACTTGCAGCTGGCTGACGATGCTCTTCAGTATGTTCACCTCCCAGGTCGGCGTGTTACGATCCACGATCATGTCCGTGATCAAGCCGTCCTTCAGCTTGATCTCGAACGGTTTGCCGGACGTGGGTAAGTCACGGAGCTCCAACATTTGGTCGGAGATCTCGCTGTCCCAACCGTCCGGCAGCGAACTGTGGATTCGAGCGTACTCGCCTTTCGATAATTTCGCTGCCAGCGTTTGAGGATCTTTCGCCTGAACGGTGAGCAACCCTTTCATCAGGAGACCGACCTGTTGGTCGGACAGCTCGCCAAGGTTGGTCATCGTCCGACTTCGCACGAGGTAGGTGTACTCGTTGCCGATGTTCCAGCCATGTTGGTGATCGGCTGAAATCAGCCCCGCTGCGCACCCACGAACATTGTCAGTATTAGTTTGTAAAATAAAATCAGTATCACTGGGTGATACGGAAATTCAGGGTAGAGGGAAGTAGTTATTATTATTAACTCTTCAGTGAATCATATTGGTCCCATCTAATTTTATTATGTATTGATTATTATTAATATATATTTATCATATATTGATTTGGAAATCTATATATTTCCAGTGCTACGCGGGAACATTTATTCCCATTTACTAATTTAGAGTACGATTTGGAATATAAAATTCGAACTACGAGTGTCAAATTAAAATCGAAAATCCATTTAATGTATTAATGTAATTATTAATGCTCATTAATGAATATATTAATAAAATACTAATATTTATTATTAAATACTAAGTGGATAGTATTTAACGTTAAAATTCAGCTTAAAATTCGTATTGAGGCGAGTGACAAATTTTCAAACTCGCAAACTTTCGTGAACTCTTTTTAATTCATTTGGCACGAGCCATTTATAATTTCATCGTCGATAAACTTTATTCGTAATGGTGGCA